ATGTCCATTTTCCTTCGGGAGTTACTTGACCCCACCCAGTGGGCTGCTCCGTAGTGACTGGGGTGGGTCAGTAGTGGCCAAGTGATACAGAGAGAGCTGGCAGTTTGGAGGACTGAGCGGAGTTCTGGCTTAGTCTCCTCCTGCAGTTTTAGACATGAGGAATTTTGTCACCATGGGGCCATCTTTGCTGGTGTATGAAGATTAAGAACACAACCAACGGAAAAAAAAGAGCTAGGAGAAAGAGAGAGAGAGAGAGAAACAGAGAGATAGAGGGAGAGGGAGGGAGGGAGAGAGAGAGAGAGAGAGAGAGAGGGAGGGAGAAGGAGAGACAGAGATATTTTTATGAAGGGAAGTTGTGATTTCTACCCAAAGCAATTTCTGGTACTGCTAACAGTGCTAATAGGGGATGAAATTGTGTAGACGACCTTGAGCCTTCTCCATGTCCTGATATCACACAATGTTGGTAACAAGTCACATTACAACTTGCAAGGGCTTGGGGATTACATTTGTTTTGGAAGAAGCTGGCTAAAGAACAGTTCTGGAAGCCCTAATTAGGTGATTATATTGAGAGAACAAGTTTTCTTCCTACCTAAATGAAGCAGTTAATTCATAAAGTCACTGCTGGAGTTCACAGATTGACATTTCCTTCCAGTTCCTTGGCCTTGCACTGGAGAATGGTACTTTAGCCAAGGCGAATCCATGGCATAATTATAGTAGTGTCTTGTTAGGAACATATCTATGCTCCTAAGTAATCTGGTTACTTAGATAACTTAGTCTGGTGTCAGAGTTGAATAAGAACATAATGTAGAATTTCAGACAGTGAAATTACTTGAGAGATGGTGCAGGATTAAATTTCACATGGGCATCAGAGGGTTAAGCTAGCTCATCAATTCATTTATGAATGTGTAGGTTCTAATAGGCATATTATTAACCTTTTAAAGTTGATGTCATTTATAAATTTTCATTTATGTTATAATCCTGGCTGAATGTGTGATTTTCCATGGTTTTGTATTCTAAACAAATGAAAATGCTCTTTCCCCAATACCTCCTCCATTTTTTAATAAAATCGCACTAATAGGGTAAGTTAGTGACACAGGAGTACTGATCTGATTTTGTGTGAATTTAGTGGGTAGATATAGGGAGGCAGATTTCAAACTGGTATCAGGAAAACTTTCCAGCATTGTCTTATTAATTGGTAAGCTATCCCACTGCTGGCAGGATTCAAGTAGTAACTATCCCTATCACTAGATGATCCCTGCTAAGGATGTTGTAGAAGGGATTTAGGCATTGCTGTGAGTTCTGGGCAAAACGACATTTTTGAGCTATTCTAGCTCTAAGAGACTATGTACTACTAGTGGTTATATGATTAAAACTATTAATACTACTTCTACATTTTGCTATTAATAGTAATAATTGCCACTTGGTAAGCATCTATTATATGCTATATACAGTGCTAGGCATTTTACATATATACCCCAGGTCAACCTCATATGAACCCTCTGTAGATACTATGCTCACAGATGTGGATTAGAGACCTAACTGTTCTCTCTCTCTCTCTACTTTTTCATATACGTTGTCTTGACCCCTTCTGGTTAATTATAAACTCATTCTTAGGAGAGAAGGCAGTGTTGTATACTTGTATTATTCCTTACAGTTGCTGCCATTATGGAAAGGTGGAACAGATTCACCTAAAAAGTTGTCTGCTTAGTTCTGTTGTGCACATCACCCTGACAGGTTCTTCAGGAGAGTCCTGAAACTTTGTTCCTTGAGTCAAACTTCTCACATGGTACATACATTGGAGTGGTTACCGCAGAACTGTGAGGTTGTTCTTACTGAATGTTTTACATAGAGAAAGGGAAAAAAGTAGAAGTTGGGAAGAAGAGGAACAATGTCCAACCTTTAATCACCTCCTTTTCCTCATCAGGACAAAAATTCCCTTGCTTGCTGGAGCATTGTTTGCTTCGGTATTTTGGCAGGGGAGGGGAGGAAATTTAATTGTGCTTGTGAATGACAAATCATCGCTTTAAAATTATTGTTTTAACTCACTTGCATCAATTGCCTATATTATTTTGCTGTCCTAACAGATCTCTCTGTTAATGTCAATGGAATGATTACAGTGTCAAGATGTTTTACCCACTGAAATGTGATGTTTATGGCTTGACATACTGAAAATAATATTTGTTATATAAATGCCACACATAATCACTTTTTTTGGTTATTTACAGCAATGAGAAAAGAGTAATGTGCTGGAACCCTAAATGTCACGTGGCCTATATAAGAGGTATTTTATGATTGCTACACCATCATTATGATCAGTCAGCACTTCATCAGTGGCTTTCTGTAGAAAGCCATATTTTTTATTATGGCTATTTGCATGCAATCATTGGTATATTTACCATTTTCTGGGTTTTAATATAATTACAACTCAGGGAATTTGAAATCAATAAAGTTTTAGATGGGATATGCCAATTGGCTAATGAAAGTGATTTGGAAGCATAGGTATTCTGTAAGGGATATCATCTTTGTTGAATAATGTGGAGACTCAGAGCTCTGCTTCTGGGAGGTGTAAATAAAGTTTTGGGCCCTAAAGAAGGGACATGTGGCTTATAGGGAATATTAGCAGGGAGGCCATTTTTAATCCATGGACAAATATGTGTAGGTTCTATTTGAGGATCAGTTCTGTGCTATGAAGGTTGGAGAATGGTATTCATCCTTCCTTCCATACACCTAGAATGAAATCTTAATGTTAAAAGGGGACTCAGTGATCAGCTGGTCACACATTCTAATCTTATAATTAAAGAAGTCAAGAGACTAATTGAGAAGCCTGAAGTCATCTAGTCACCATGTCTTGAAAGACATCTTTGCCTTCCAGCTCAGTGGTCTTCTTTACCTTTTACCCCTATAATCCTTTCCCAACTTTAGCATTCCTCAGTGTTATCAACAATACTCCAAAGCCATGGAAATGGGGGAGAAGGTACAGGCTGGGTATTTTCTCAGCTCTCTGCCATTTGAGTATCTGTGTAACCTTCGGGAAGTTACTTAACATCTCTAAGACTCAACATTCTCTTCTATAGAATGGGAAAATAATAATGCTGCCTCCAATAGGATTGTAATAAAGACTAAATTAGCTAACCCATGCAAAGCATTTAAGACATTATTATTATTCCCAGTTCATTCTCCTTTAATAATGAGCATTTAATTGTGGATACATTTAAATTACTTGAAGGGGCCGTTGTTTTACTGGAACTTAGAGGGCACTAGTTAACTTCTTTTTGGTGTCTTTATTTTGAGATTTCTTCATTCTTCTCTGAAACATTAGTTGGGAATTTTTAATTACAAGTCCGAAAAAAAAAATAAAAGTCATCTTTGGATTACTTGAAGGGAAGCTCAAGAAATATTGAAGATTATAAATTTTCAGCTCCACGATTTTTCTATCATCTTCAGAATTATGTTTTTAGAGTAAGAGTCGAATTTTCCATCATATTTTCCAAATATTCATAATATTGCTTGAAAGTTGTATGTGTTTGGATGTCAAAGGGACTTTATAATCTCTTTAAATGCTGTAAATGTAGTAAATCATAGGTTTTTGGACTGCTATGGGCTTGTCAGCTTAAAACAGAACGCAAGAGGTATTCAAATCTTGCTGATGTCATGGATTTTTGTTTAAATTTTAATTACACATTTGAAGTCCTGATTATACCCTAAGGATTTATGTGCTTATGGAAAGTCAAACTATGAATTACAGTATTACAGGATATTTTCCACTTCATCAGATTAGTTTCACTATTCATTCCACAAATATGTTTTGTAAAATTTTCCAATTTGTAGAAAACTTTGATACAACATTACAAAAGGGTACTTAAATATAGATGAGAAAGATAGATGTGTGTCTTTCCCTTTTGATATTGATGTTAAATAAAAGATGGAATGTTTTCGTTTAAAATCAATCCCTCATTCCACCCCGCCCCCCTCAACACAATAAGTAAATGGCATTGTGAACAAAGTCTTCCTTTAGAGCTGTTATTCATTTTAAGTGTGTGTTAGGAAAAAAGTCTACTCTGTGTATAAAATCTAGCAAAAAATAAGAGAATTGTAAATAGAAAAATAAAACATGTAGAGGAGACAAATATTCTGTGCACATAGTTTTAAAATCCCAATGGGGAACACTTGTCAGAAAGAGAGACTACATACTCGTTAAGTTAAACATAAATTCCCAAAGAGTAACATTGCAATACGTTAATTTGCCACAGTAGATTTACCCACTGAAATCAGTCTACCAGTCTTGGCCAGCAAGTAGGATCTTAATTTTACCATCTAACAGTTGACTTGAAATAGAATAAAGATTTTCACATAAATATCTTAGTGACATAGACTTTCCTGGATTGCAGTGGTGCACCTACTCAACATTCAGTCAATTCACAGGTAATGAAACTCTTTGTAAGTGTTATCTCCTCACACAGTAGCAGGGTCTTAAATGGAAAAGGGCTCTGTTCATTTTCTATTTAAATCACAGGAAGAGATTATAGAATCAGTTGATGAAAACAGCTTATTTTTGGAAATCAGTTAAAAAATCTGAAGTTATGAATAGAAAATAATAAAAGAGAAATAACTGTCTGGGTTTTCTCCCTTCTTTACAGTGATATGGTAGAAATATAAGGAAAATGCTTAACATCCTTTAGTTAGGAAATCTGGTCCCTTCACTTGCTACAGGGCTCAGTTTTGAGTAAGAAAAGAAAGAACATTTTTGGCTGCAGCTTTAGTAAACAATGAATGATGAAAAATATTGCAGAAATGTCTTCAAGAGATCTGACAATTGAGAACACAGACCTTATCGCATTGATATTGTCTACATTCCTCCACAAAGCTTGGCAAATGAATAACTGAGCCCTGTTTTGGCGGAACGAGAGAAGGAAGTACTAGTTCCAGCATCAAAACAAGATAATGAAAACAACCAACCAACACAAAACAGTTATTTCTTCTCCTGAATAATAAAGACATCATGTTTGCATATAGAACAGCTTTTGCATTATTGCTCTACATATAAGAATATATTAAGGAACTCATAACAGACTGCACATTACAAACTTAAGGTTCTTTGGTGAAGAATGAAAGAAAACAGTATTTGAGCTTTAAAGAAAACGATCTCATCCCTTTTGCTTTTATCTATTGATCCGTTGGATCCTCTCACAGAGCAGGGAGAGGTACTGTGTGAGTTTCACCATGGCTACAATCACCACGCCCCCAGCCATCATACATGTTGGCCAGAACAGTGAATGGAACAGCACGTTGGAACTGTAGAGTTTGGTGAGGATGACGCTCTTCTGGTTTCCTTCTGGGTCGGAATAGCAGGAGAAGTGTTGATACTTCCTGAAGTTTTCCATGACAACATTCACCAGGGACATGGATTCTTCAAAGTTTTTTCCACACTTAGGTATATAGGAGCACTGTGGAAAATGAGATAAACTGTCACCAGAAGATACTTTCTTTGTGTATTTACGTATGTCTGGTTCTAGGAGGGGATGGGATATTGAGGTCAGCTTAATGAGCTGTGAAATAATCATGATGGTTTTTCTTTTCGTATTCAAACCAGTGCCTCCAGAAACCCTAAGATCTCACACAGTAATGAAGACAATGTTTTTAGGTATCTGACCCAGATGGACCTAAATAGTTCACCCATATATAGTTTGATTATTGATTAGAATTGGATGACTCTGATGGATTCTTTTTACCGTAGCATGGTGAGTTTTAATTATTCCCTACTGAACACACTTTTCCATGGAATCAGAATGTCAATTTCTGTCTTTTGTCTATCCACGGCTGTCCATATAATATCAAAAGCTACCAGTTCTCTCAGGGAAAGTAGTTTATTCTCTTTTTGCTTGGCTTACTTTATTCAGCCAAGTCACCTTGGTCACCTTGCTATAGTAGCCAAGGAAATAGCTATACCTCTGGTGAGTTGCTGAAAAAGAATCCTGGAAAGGGTAGAGAAACTGACTAGTTAAAGAGCCGTGATGAATTGTTCATGCTCAGTGAGCATGATAGCATGACAAAGCAACTTTTTCCATAAGCCAGCGAAAAATAAAACAGAACCAAATGAGTTTACTCTTCAAGCAGCGCTCATCTGAAAATTTACACTATATTTCCTTTGAACTTTTCCCCTCTCTTATCTTTACTGTTGTATCTCTTCTACATGTCTCTCCTTTCCTCCTACATACTTATATTCTTGGATTGCTTTCTTTGTGTCTCTTTTTCTTCCCTGCCTTGCCCCAACTCCTCAGTTTTTATTATTTATTGCATATACTTTGGAACACATTTTTTCCTCATTTAAAAAGGAGTCTTCAAGGATGAAATCTCTGTGCCCCCTTTCCCTTGGCCTGTCAATGGGCAGTGACAAAACTGATTTTTTAAAAAGTTAGGAAAAAAGTGATTGAAAGAAATCTATTCAAACTCCCTCCTGCCCTCCCACCCCAGCCACCCTTACAGACAAAACTCACAGGGATCTGCACTAGGCCCTAACTCTTTGTTTTTCTAGATCCCAGGGCATTACATTCTTAGAAAATCGACCCCAACTACAAAACATATTTTTCTCTAGCCTGACCACAACACACATCCCAGATGAGCCCCAGTCAGAGCCCCTTGAGAAACCTGCCCCCACTTGCTCCACTGGCCACGAGTTGCCCTTGCCCCACACTCTCCCCAGAGCATAGCTGCAACCGTTTCACATCCTTCAAAACCCCTTAAAAGGCCCAGCCTAACAGAAACGTGGGCTGGCCTCTCTCCTCCCTTGAAGAGTAAATAAACTCTTGTCTTGCTTGTTGCTTCACTCTGTGCAATTCTTTGCCACCTGTGTCACTGGCCACCCTAACAGTGATTTAAGTCACTTTCCAGGGAGATGTGTGAGTCCTTAGCTAACTCTTTCCCCTCTTTATCATAATTGCCTTTCAACAGGAAAAAAAAAATCCCTGCCTTATTGTTATACACATTATCAAATGATTAATTTAACTGATTTTTCTGAATTGAATTGGTTTGTGACAAGATCACTGCTAATCTATATAATGTTTTGGTGTAAATTAGACAGCTGTGTCCCCTCTTTGGAACACTATTATTTTTCTGTCAAAAAATTGTCCTAATACACTTATTTTATGAAAAAGCCTCACATATTTTACTGCTATTACCAACTTACAAGTTGTGCTTACAAATATTCACATCTATGACTTTTTAGTGTGACTGGTATCCCAAAGGTTGTGCAGTGCACAACTCACACAACTGTATGTGGAGACACAAAATGAGGTGGGGTATTGTTGACCTTTAAGGTACATTCTGGAATTCCAGAACAATTTAGACCTGTAGATTTCACAGGAAAAAAATATAAAAGAAATAGAATGGGTTTCGCTAATGGAGTATGTTTGGATTAGTCTTTTTCCCTTATTTTGTTTACAGTGCTGTAATCATTGGATTCTTTGACTATAAACAGCAGGAAGATTCTTACTTAGTTAAGAATGGAGATGGAGTATGCTGGTATTTATCATAAACCAGGCTTAAAGTAATGTTCTCATAGCAGGGCTGGTTGACACCTTCCCGTGTAATCAGCTAAGAATAAACGTGAGTACATTCATAAATATGAGTACAGCAGAGAGCTGGCACTAGAACAACATTAAGGGTCTGAAAGTAGCTCCAAAAAAGCAGAATTTCTCAGTGAGTTACAAGTTAGTACAAAATTAGCCTATGACTCCATGAAACAAATTTTCTACCAGTTGGATGCCTTTTGGATCAAAAGAGTTTAAGGCAGGATGGAGATACCTACCTTTGTTATTTTTTTCTTCTTCAAAGCTGCCTCATGTCTTTATAGCTTTAAAAAATGTTTTCTGAAGCAAAGCATTAAAGACATCACAGACAAGCCATTTGTAGCTGAATTTGAACAGAGCCAATTTAGATCATAAATGCATCAGGCTTCTGTATATTTTTGTGCCAAGACAGTTTATAGTAGTAGTTTCAGTGGTTAACAGTACCAAATTATTGAAATGATCTCAGTAAAATTGGCATTCCATTAAAATGGAGTTTTTCTTATGCTCTTGTGAATTGATCTGGCTTAAAAAAATTTTTTTTTGAAGAAACATTTGTCAGTCAAATGACAATAATTCTGTCACCAAGTAAGATTCTTTCAAGTAAAATGAGATGTAAAGTATTAAAAAGTTTTTTTAAAATTTATTTTGAGACAGAGAGAGAGAGAGAGAATGAGCAGGGGAGGGGCACAGGGAGAGGGAGAGAGAGAATCCCAAGCAGACTCCATGCTGTCAGCACGGAGCCTGATGCAGGGCTTGATCCCATGAACTATGAGACCATGACCTGAGGCAAAATTAAGAGTTAGATGCTTAGCCGACAGAGCCACCCAGGTGTCCTGATATAAAGTACTTTTGAGACTGTCTAGGAAGGATCTAGTACAGGTTTACTATTCCTTATTAAAGTTTCAAACTATCAGGGTCTCATATACGTTTGGAATGGCCAGATAAGGCATGTTCTATATAGATTGGACTGACTCTGCCAGTGTCAATCATTCATTTACTTTTATTATTGATGAATCCTTCTTTTGTCATGACCAATGCATGCGGTAGCATAATGAGCTCCAGCTGTGTTCAGGAGATCTGGTTACTGTGTTTCTATAGGCAATTTACCTGGCTCCTCAGAATCAACTTCTTTATCTGTACAAAGGGGTTAACAGAGCCTTCCGGGCAGGCTTTGTGTGAAGAGCAAATGATGAATATGCCTAAAGCCTCAATACATTTTCATTTATGTACTTTCTTATTGGAATATCACATTGTCCACATGATCTTCTAAAGTCTTCAACCAAGTGCTGCATACTAAACTACGAAACTTCTAAGGAGGGCAAAATTATTAGTTATGTGGTTTTCACAGGGGGAGTGCCGTTCAATGGCTTTTATGTTATGGTCCTTGCTTTTGTGTCCCAGGAGAGTTGACATTATGCTGAATCCTACACTAGGATTCTAGGTTTCTGTCTCTATGGCTCAACCTTAGCCATGTGTACATTCCTGAGGCTGGTGTGAATTTGGGGTGAAGGTTTAATGATCTTATGATTTTATCGCATGCTTGGAGGATCATTTTCTGTGTTTGGTTTAAAATACACAGAATGCATTTCAGCAAATGGAAACTTTACTAAGTGATCTATGTTTATTTGGAAAATATAATGTGGATTGAAAAGATAAAAATCCCAGCATTTTAGGTCATTTCTTTTTTTAGTGGGAGGGGTGGGTTAAGAAAGATTTAACTTTTAGACTCTGCATGATATATATGATAAAGGAACATATGGGTTATAATTTTATACACACAACACACTTAAGTACTAATAAAAATATGGTAATTTTTTTACCATGGCCTTGAGTTATTCTTTCTTTTGTGTTTTAACATATGAATATATAAACCTTTCAAGCCTCTGAGATGCTCATTCAGTGGAAGACATAGTCTCACATACCTGTTCTCAATCCTGAGTTTTGTTAACAAACCTTATTGCTTTCCCAAATCCCTTAAATTCTCTTTGGTATTGAAAACCATCAAGCTGGCTCAGGGGTATGGCCTTTCCTCTCTTAGCTGAAGAAACCTGGGTCCTGACAACTTGTCTTGTGGCCCTTACATGGCAATGAAGACCCAGCATTGCATATTTTCTACAATTCTTTGAAAAGTGGCTGAAAATTCGCTTTTATTAACCTCACTTCCAGAATCTTTGATATCACTGGAGTTATTTTTATTCTGATGATGGACAGAAGTTTTGAGGAACTATCTGTTGGCCTTTGCTTAGACATGCTTTGCTAAGCATGTATAAAGTAAATAGTGACAGGCCTTCACCCTAAACATAAAAGGTGTGGGGAGAAGTGGGGGGCAGTGGGAAGGGGATGGTTTGGCTGAGTAACCTCACTGGCCAGCCTCTCTTTTTTATATTGGTAGGAAAGGGGCTATCAATTCTCTGTATCGCCTCAAGGGAAGGGTTTGTTCTTCATTTGTTCTTTTAGAAAAAGAGAAGAGTTTTATTTCAGAGAGGGGTTAGAAGTTTAATGAAATCCAATCAATGTTGAATGTCTCTAATGTGCCTAATGGCATGCTAGACACAGGCATCAAAAACATAAATAATAGGGGCACCTTGGTGGCTCAGTTAGTTGAGCATCCAACTTTGGCTCAGGTTATGATCTCACGATTCATAACTTTGAACCCTGCATTGCTCTCTGTGCAGATAGCTCAGAGCCTGGAGCCTAGCCTGCTTCAGATTCTGTGTCTCCCTTTCTCTGCCCTGCCCCCGCCCCCCATCCTCTCCTTCCTGCTTGTTTTCTCTCTCTCTCTCTCTCAAAAATAAGTAAACATTAAAAAAAAAAACATAAATAATACAAGGCAGATCATTAGAAAGAAACAGGAAGAGATTATAAAGCAAGGATGGGGT